AAACTCTTCTAGTAGTGATTCTTGGTATAGCAGCAGACAATCGTGTACAAAGTCTGAGTACCGACAAAAAAATCCAAGCGTGAACTACGACCTGCTCAAACTTTTTTCATTGGATGGCCGTAGTCATGTGACTACCCCCAGGAAGGTTCCGGTTTTGTTCCTGGTGAGATGACTTTTTCTGTTCCGCCGGTAAGTTTATGTATATCTGCCTTTTAATATTAACGGTGAAAACATAATTAAGTAGCTAACGATGTCTATTGTGGCTATTTTAAAATTTTAATCAAGGCCAGCCTTCAGATATGCTGCAGTGAGTTAGCGTCTGTTATAACTCATGTCGCAGTAATATAAAGCGTGCGTTGAGTGCACAAGTTCGTGAAAACTGTACTTTTCATGTAAATGTATTTTACCAATAGTTATTGACATGCATTGTGAATATTTTGTTTAGGAGTATTTGTCTGTTGCACCCCTGTCAGATATAATGGTTAGACTGGCGTGGTACAATTCACACGCCATAGTCAGCAATAAAAATAAAACATTGATTACTGTGGAAACTAGACGTCAGGGGCCCCACCCACTTCCGTTATATATATATATATATTGGAGCCTTCGCGGCCATGGAAATGTAATTAGTCCCCGTTCGGACGTAGTCCGAAAATGGGGACTTATGTTTTGCTCTGTGTGCGTCCGTGCGTGCGTCCGTCCATGATCACCTGTATCTCCAACATACATGGACCGATTAAGTTCAAACTTCACTCATCGGGTGCAGCCAACGAGCAAAAAATTGAAATAGTCCATTCTCTGGGACAAAATTTATTTCATGGGCCTTTTGAAGAATGATAATTAATATAAAGGAAAGAAAGGAAATTAAAAGCTGTTCATAAGCTACCCTCCACCTGAAAAAAAATTGTTTTCCCCCTCCTGCTGACCAAATTCATCTTTACCCTCCCCTCATTTAGCAAACGTTATTTCCCCCGAATGCGTTTTTTATTATACCCTGCCTTAAAGGCTGTTTTGCCCACCCTGCGATATTTTTTTATGCAAATACCCTACCCACTAAAAAAGTTTCCCTGTCCTTGCATTTTTTTTTTAGAAATCTGCCCTGCCCACTGGGGGGTACTGATATTTCCCGCCCCCTACAAAAAATTGAAAAAAATCCCCTGCCCTCAACAAAAATCCCTTGGAACAGCTTTTCCGATGAACAGCTCCATTAGCTGCACCTGACTCATACATCACACATTATATGGGACATATGCACATGCATTTTTTTCATGATCTGATTAACGATAGCCGAATAGCGGCCATTTTAAGGCCGAAAATGCATCAAAATCGTACATTTTCACCATTCCGAGTCCCGGATCTCAGTTATGCATGGACGGATTTTGTTCAAATTTGGTACATACATTAAACATAATAGGACCTTGATGCACGTCATTTTTTTTCAGATCAACATCGAAATGGCCGACTGGCGGCCATTTTGTTTTAAAGAATTCAGTTCTGGATCCGTATCCGAGACATGATTGGATTGATCAAGTTCAAACTTCACACACACATGGTACATCATGTCACAAATAGATATGTGCATTTGTTTCATGATCCGCTTAACAATAGCTGAATGATGGCCATTTTAAGGCCGAAAATGCATCAATGTGTTGTACATATGCAGGTGCATTTCGGTCATGATCTGCTTTGAATGTATATGTCACTCACATATGAACGGAACAGGGACGTTTCATTGACAATGACTTGTCTTATTTTATTGTTGGCGTGATATTTCTTTTATTAGGTATCGTAAACTTATATGAATATGATATGAACCTGTCATCTTGAATCCTTCACCACAAATAGAACAAACCACAAGTTATAAACCCAATTTTCTTATAACTGTATGGGTGCTACAGTGAATGTTTTTTCATGGAAATTTATATAATAAAATATTTCTAAAACTTTTACCACAGGAGATCTAAAAAGGGCTTCATTCAAATCCAAAGAATGGGCTATAGTTCCAGTAGTTTTACTGTCATTGCCATAATGTTCCGCACACCAAAACAGCAACATTGCCAGCTAAGTTGCTGACTGCTTTGGTGTACGCGTCTAAAGATCGTTATCTTACTTGACCTCCTTGAATCAACTCATTTTAAGACGGGTGCCACTCGACTTAATGTGGGAAGTGTAAGTGAGCTCAAGTTACACACGGCTATTTCTCTCAGTGTGCTTGTTTTGTTTATTATTACAGCAAGTCTCAGAAGTATTGGGGCAGCCAATTTGCAAACTCGCTAACGAATTGGCTAACTGCTTGGGTTTTGACTAAAGAATTAGCTTTTGAATCTTGCTTGCGCCGACTCGACTCGTGGTCTCGTTCACTCTGGATGAGTCTATATTGCAATTGGGGACATAGAATGTTTTTACGTAGCCTGGAATTGCAATGTTACGCGAGGTGTTATAATGTATAAGTAGTTTCCCTGTAGTTATAAGTACAAATGTAAAGTAAGCAAAATTATCGAGAGTGATTTTGGATTTGTTGAAAAAATAACCGAAATGCTGTGACATTGTCTAATTGGTGATGGGAATTGCGAAGCCAGTGTATAAAATAGTGAACACAAATTTTTGTAAATCATTACTGACCACGAGAGAAGCCCATCACAAAGTGTCTTAAATATTATACTGTAGAGCGGTATATCTCTCTTGGAGGATGTAGTGGCCCTGAAAAAGGTCACTTTTAGGTTTTCTTAGTATATAGCAGAATATATTTAAAATCCGCAATGTTGGAAGAAACCTCTAGAAAGTTCTGGCATGATCATGTCCAGAGCATCCAGAATAGCGACTTTAGTGATAAGCAAATACCGATTAGCAAATACGTCATTTATTTGCAATTCTCGTTTTATATGCCGAAAACAAAGCTCGCAGGTATTAAATTGTGGGCTATATGGAGGCTGAAACATGAGAGTAACTTGTCTGGCATCGAGCATCTCGCAAAGAACGGGTTCGGTGAAATTACCGGTAATGAAAACCACAATTGTCCATCACAACAGTGTCGCCTTCTCCAATAAACGGCTGACCATCTACTACTTCTTCATTCAGTGCCTCCTCAAAAAATGTTAACAGCTCCATCCCATTTGAAGGACTGCAGAGAATATTGAAATGGGTCACACCAAGTGGGCTATGCAATAAATTCACGGTAAAATTTATGTTGGATGTGTATCTTTGCACTTCCACTGCCGACTTCGGCTGACCGACTGGAACATGTCCATAGACACGATTGCCCGTCGTGCGTTTCAATCCTGCCTCATCAAAAAAATAAACATTGAGAGGGTCAAGTTGAGAAATCATATCGCTATAATTCATGATTCTGTCCATGTTATGTTCCATCAGCTGTTCTTTCGGAATATACATATTTTTTTTATATGAGTAGTCTAAATCTCGCTAGAATGTGTGGTATATACTTCTTGTGGATGGCAGTGTGTTGGGCGTACAAACACCCTCATCCAACCACTTTCCTTTGACTTTGCTAGCTGACATAGATGCGTTGTTGGCCTTCTAAACTCAGTAAATTGCACTACTTCGGTGATTGCCTTTGTATCGGTTGACTTAGATTTACGTATGTTTCACCGATAGCACTTTATTGGACAACGCAATGTAATAATAAACACAAATTTGCGCGCAAAACTTCAACAGAAAGAACGTTCCATTATAATTTGGGAGTTGCCGCTTTTAGTGCGACACTGTATGTACAGTGTCAGTGTCTCTTATATTTTGATATCTCATACATTTTAGTATATGGCAACGTACACGGAATATTTAAATACATTGAAATTGGGGGTGTAATCCTTGAATTGATTTCCAGAACACTTGACTTGTGCGTGTTCCTTGTAATCAGTGCGATGTCTCCTTTTGGTGTTAGTTTGATCCAAAGGGGTCAAGTAAGATAACGATCTTCAGACGCGTACACCAAAGTAGTCAGCAACTTAGCTGGCAATGTTGCTGTTTTGGCGTTCGGAACAACATGGCGGTGACAGTAGCAGCTTTGATTGGCCTATTATGTTATGGCCAAAACCACTATGCTCTATGTGAGTGTGAATCAGTTGGGAGACCAAAGCCACTGTACCCTGGCCAATTGTAAAAATTTATTCATACATGGTTGTGACTTTGATTACAATCTTAATGTATATTTTATTTGCACTATTCATTGACACCCCAGACTTATTTTGACTTATTTGAAAACATCTATAATGTGCATCATATTGATGTGATGTGTTTCTATGCTGTTTCAGGTAAATATCCAGTTATATTGGAAACTGTTTTAACAAACCTTTATCATGAACAGTGATTGTGTTGAAGAGAGGGAATCTTACAATTTACAGCAACTATGTTTAGGGATGTGAATATCAGTCCATCGCCACGAAGACTTGACAGATCATACCTTGTTAAGATTAAAAAGTGGATCCAGTCAGATACCAAGTCCCATGCAAGAGTATCACTTGAAGAGGAATTTATCAAGTATCAAGAAAATATTTCTCCCATCAAATGTAATAAGCTTGGTCCATTCTTGAAGAGTTTGTTCATGGAAAGTATGAGGTGCCATTTTATCCTAACAAGGAGGATGTATTTATTCCTACAGAATATTGGGATACTGAATATGTCAATACAGATTTTACAAGTAACAAAGAAGCCATACACTCTGATAATCAGCAGAAATACATAAAGTGCCATTCACTAACTTTACCAGATGGTTTTCCTGATAGGCTTGCCATTGATTCAGAACATCATTCATCAGCAGCTGGCATTGAAGACAGTGAAGCAATAAAATACTGTGACAGTCAACAGAATGGCTCAGAGCAACCACCATCTTCCGCTGGAAAGACAGATTATAAACTGAAAAGCAGTTCTCATTGTAGAGTTGTCAGTGATTCTGGAAATGAACCATCATCAGCAGCTGGCATTGAAGACAGTGTAATTGATGTAAATACTTGTAACCAAGCAACAGAATACTGTGACAGCCAACCACATGGCTCAGATCATCCACTATCTTCACCTGGAAAGGCAGATGATAAACTTAAAAGCAGTTCTCATGGTAGAGTTGTCAGTGATTCTGGAAATCAACCATCATCAGCAGCTGACATTGAAGACAGTGTAATTGATGTAAATACTTGTAACGAAGCAACAGAATACTGTGACAGCCAACCACATGGCTCAAATCATCCACTATCTTCACCTGGAAAGGCAGATGATAAACTTAAAAGCAGTTCTCATGGTAGAGTTGTCAGTGATTCTGGAAATCAACCATCATCAGCAGCTGGCATTAAAGACAGTGTAATTGATGTAAATACTTGTAACCAAACAACAGAATACTGTGACAGCCAACCACATGGCTCAGATCATCCACTATCTTCACCTGGAAAGGCAGATGATAAACTTAAAAGCAGTTCTCATGGTAGAGTTGTCAGTGATTCTGGAAATCAACCATCATCAGCAGCTG